GCCTCAGCCCCCCAGCTGCTCTGGGCTCACCGGGGCGGCTCTTTACACCCGCTGCCCTTTGGGTCGTGATTGCCTTGTGGGGCTGGTCCCGGGGCTCAGCGGGTCTGTGGGTGCACGTTCTGTCCAGGCCCGGGCTACTCGACACGCGGCCTGTGGGCGGGATCCTTGGAACGTGGCCTCCGCGGGAACATGCTGCACAACGGTCAAGACAATGGACTACTGTTGAGATGCACTCGAGTCGTTACATTCCTGGACTGGCTGCTCGTTCAAAGTGCTGCCATGGGGGTGGCAGTCGGGTCCCTGCTGCATTTTATTCATGTCAGCAGAACTGACTTCAGCGGGGCCTGCGTGTTGTCGTCTTGCCTTCATCTTTGTATCATACCCGGCAGTGTGAAAGAACCCATTTGCATATATTTGCATATATATTTGCATGTCTATGCAACCGCGCTGCCGTGGCGGCCCTTGGCATGTGCTGAGAGTATCGTTGTGGGCCCCGGGGCTTGGTGGGCGTTACCCGGGGCCTGGAGCCTGCAGTGGGAAAGGCGCTCCTGGCTTGGCCCCTCTGGCTGGAAGGTAACAAGGAGCGTTAAATACATGTAGGTTTCACTCTCATAGGGAGGGAGGAACAACCTCCCAGGCACAGGGTGACGCGGGGGAGCACGCCAGGGGAGCACGCCGCGCCTGTGCCCCCAGCAGAATTTGCATTGCTAAATGGGGTGCCCCCTCCCCGCACCCTTCTCCCACTGGCACCAGTCACCCCTGCCCCCAGGCTGGAAGTGAATATGGGGCAGCGTGGGGGCAGCTCCCAGCTGCCTGACTAGACAGGACCCATGTTTCTAAACTGTGCTGCTTGGCAGTACCTGGTGGGTGTGTCTCCAGTCCGGCTTCCCCCCCCCGCTCCCCCAGGTGCACATAGGGAGCTGAGGCCCCTGGGGGTCTGAGAGGGTACTCCAGTCCACAGCAGAGCCCGCTCCCCTCGCTGGAATTTGAAACTTTCCCGGCAGCTAGGAATATTAGAGCTAGCAAAGCGTCTGGGGACTGTCCACAAGCTAACGGAGAAATCGAATGGGCTGGAAGACGGTCGCAGACAGCGACACTGGGAAGCACAGCACGGGTGGCCTCGCCGCAGATGTCCTTCAGCCCTACAGGACCACAGCGCAAAAGTCACCCGCTGAATTATCTCATGGTAGAGAGATGCATATTGAATTCTGTGTTGCTCCATCACAGGGACCTAATTCCGCTCCCTGCAGCTGGATGTTAGGCAAACCCAACAGGAACAGCACAAAGTAAGGTGTAAACACAGAGCCCCCCCCCCCCCCGCACATCTTGGGAAGCGGAGGTTCCT